TAATATCGCCACCTTGAGAAACAGTGTGCTTAAAGATATTTTTACTGCAACATACTTTTGGTATGCACTCCTTCACACATCAAATGTACATACCTAGGGTATGTTGCAGTAAAAATATCTTTAAGCACACTATTTCTCAAGGTGGCGATATTATGGACCCTGGTGATATTATGGACACAGATGTTACAACGTGGGAGAACTCAATGCTATCAGGCAAAACGGGCAAAAACTAAGATTTTGCTGGTCAATCTCCAAGCCTGAAAATGTAGAATTTGTCTTAAGAAATGACACGTCAGCAAAACGCACCAGATCAGGGAGTAAACAACCTGCTAAACACGAATATTCAAACAGCCCGAACCAGACAATTACTAGTAACCAATCATATAAGTAAGACTATGAGTGGGGTCGTGTGGCGCAGCGCTTTCGGCTCAGGACCTAGAGGTCCTGGGTTCGATCCCCACCCATGTCACCGATCTTGTGCCCTTGGGAAAGGCACTTTAAACGACTTTCCTCACTTCACTCAGGTGTAAATGAGTACCTAGCCTCGGTTAGGGACGTCCCTCGGATAGGACGTTAAATGGAGGTCCCGTGCTTGGGGAGAGTCATACCCCACGCACGTTAAAGAACCCACCACACCTTTCGAAAAAGAGTAGGGGCATAGTACAAAACTAAAACTGCCTGGGAGTTGGTGATTTACTACAAATCACCCGGATGGAGGCCTGGCGTATTAGCCACAAAAGGCAGCAGAATCTTCAGCTAGTTGAAGGCGGCTGCCTCAAATGAAAGCATGTGACTCAGCATGAGTGCTTTTAAACCTTATTTTGTCACGTTTCGTCACTTATGATGATTATTGTTGGGTTTTAACCAAACATAGTTTGTGAGTATATGATAATTTCTAGAAATGTCTAGGAAAAAATGTTATCGGTGTCAAAAGAAGTAGCCTGCATGGTTACCAAATCTATTATAGCTACCGAGTCCTATCCTCTACCAGGCTTCGGAGGGAAGCTGGAAGAAAGAGTAGAAATCGGCCAAATAAAGAGATAACATGCCAGGGGAGTT